TTCTGCTCCGTTTAGTGCCTTGCTCACATAATAAATGGGCTTTTGTGCCCCATCATCTCTTATTAAAACAGAGCTTACAGCATTTGGGGAAATTCCCAGGTACAGATACAGAGTTTCACCCGGCTGGGGTTTAGACAATACAATATCCGACACTAGGTACTCTTTCAGCTCCTCGAATGCCCTCTGGCACTCCTCGTCCCATGCAAATGTATTGGCCTTCTTCAGAACTTTGAAGAAAGGCAGGGACCTCTCAGCTGACCGGGAAAGGAGCCGGCTGAGTGCCTCTAGACGACCGGTCAACTTCTAGACATCCCTCACTGATGTAGGGGCCTGCATCTCAGTGATAGCCCGAATTTTTTCTGGGTTGGGCTCTATTCCTCTCTTGGTTACCATGAATCCCAAGAATTTCCCGGTGCGAACCGCGAAAACGCATTTCTTAGGATTCAACCGGAGGTTGTATCTTGCCATGATATCAAATGTGGCGCGCATATCAGCCGGGTGATTGAGAGATACCTGGCTTTTGATTAGCATGTCGTCGACGTATGCCTCCATGGTCTTTCCCAGCAGTGGCTTGAAGAGCTTGTTCACCATGCGCTGGTAGGTTGCCCCTGAATTCTTCAAGCCAAACGCCATTACCCGGTAACAGTAGGTTCCTTCGGGTGTGAGGAATGACGTCTTCTCTTCATCCTCCTTGGCCATGTATATCTGGTGGTAGCCCTTGAAAGCATCCATGAAACTTAGGAGTTCGCACCCCGCAGTTTCGTCCACCATTTGATCTGGACTAGGGAGGGGGTATGAATCCATCGGACACGCCTTTTTAAGTCCGTGTAATCCACACACATTCTCCATGTGTCCCCCTTGGGAGCAAGAACCACATTGGCCAGCCAATCTGGGTATTTAACTTCCCGAATGTGACCAACACTAAGGAGGTCCTTCACCTCCTTCTTGACGAAGTCTCGTCGGTCGCTGGCCAGGTACCTTTTCTTCTGGCGTACCGGTCGACTTCCCTCCCTTACTGCCAACCGGTGACAGATGATTGAGCGGTCTATCCCGGGCATATCTGCCACGCTCCATGCAAATATGCCCGCGTACTCTTGGAGCACCCGTGTAATCTCTGCCTTGAGATCTTCTGGGAGGTTTGCCCCAATTTTGACCATCCTTGAAGAATCACCCGGGTGAAGCTCAATCTCCACCGTCTCAGCTTCAGGCTCCAGTTTCTCCCGGGTTTCTCCCTTGGTGATTTCTTGGGAGATGACGTTGACTCCCTTGGTCATCTTCTTAACTGCCCGGGCGTAGCACTCCCGGGCGTTCCTCTGGTCGCCCTTCACCTCACCCACACCACCTGGAGTGTGGAACCTCATGCACAGGTGAGGCATGGAAATCACCGCCCCGACCTTGTTAATGCCAGGCCTTCCAAGGATGGCGTTGTGGACGCATTTGATGTCCACAACGATGAACCGCATCTTCTTCCACACGGTCTTTTCGCCCGATCCTAGTTCGACCGGTAGAACTATGGACCCCTCAGCTTCCACTATGTTTCCCGTGAAACCTGAGAGAGGAGTTTTGAGGGGTTCAAGTTGTGTCCGACACAACCTGAGTTTTTAGAAAGTCTCCAGGTATAGGATGTTGACACTGCTGCCGGTGTCGACAAGTACCCGGGCGACGTCCACCCCGTTGATGTCCATGGTGATGACCAATGGATCATTGTGATCTTCACCGGTAGGAGGGAGGTCCCGGTCAGTGAAGACTATTGGCTCCCTCCTGAGATACTTACGCCTGGCCGGTTCGGCATTCACCTCACCAACGTAAATGCTACGAACCCAGTTTTTCTGCTGCGCGGCTGAATCTCCTCCTTCGGGTCCGCCAAAGATCATCCCAATATGTTCTTTGTCAGGGGCTGGTTGTTGCTCCCTTTGCCGGTTGTTCCTCCGCCGGTCATTGTCCCGGTCATTTCCCTGGGTCGCTGGCCTTACCCATTGATGGTTCTTCTCCTGGGCTTTCTGCAGATAATCCTTGCCCAGTTCTCCGCTGTCTATCATCTGCCGGATTACCCCCTTAACACTCTTGCATTCGGAAGTGCTATGGGAATCTGACCTGTGGTATGAACAATAGGTGCCCGACCACTGACGCCCAGCTTGACCGGTAGGATTGTCCGGGGGATTGACCGGTGCTTTCCTGATCTCCTGGCATTCTTCTGAATTGACCACTCGGACTACCGGGTCATAGTGGTGCCTTGGCCGGCTGGGTACCGGCACTTCTTCCTTCTTGACTTGCACCGGTTTGGGCTTGTAACCATGCTCGGCTTCTTTCTTCGCCCGGAGTTGAGTTTCTGCCTCTGCGAACTCCCATGCAGTATGGTATGCTTCCTGATACGTGGCCGGGGGTTTCCGGCAGAACTCCTTGTAAAGTTCCCCAGCTCGCAAACCATTCAGGAGGAGGGACAACACTGTCTTGTCATCCATCTCCTCAACCTTGTCTACCTCCTCCTTCCACCGAGTAAGGAATTGGGTGAGGTTCTCAGATTCCCTCTGCCCGGCTGTACTAAGATAGGTGAATTTCTTCCTCTTGGTACAGTTCTCCTGGAACTTGGCCTTGAACTTCGAGGCTAAGTCGCTGAATGAGGCAATGCTTCCCGGGCGAAGCTTGTTGAACCACTCGGTGGCTCGATTCCGCAAGGTCTGGAAGAAAAGGAGGCACTTTTCTTCATCTGTGCAACCGTTCATGGTTGCACTCTGATTGAAGGAGTCCAGGTGGATTTCTGGGTCCTCCTTACCGGTGAACCTTGGGGCGTCTATCTTAACCTTTCGCGGGAAAGGTGTCAGATGGACCCTTGTGGTGAACGGGGACCCTGCGAGGGGTTTGTCCCGGTCATTCTTCTCCCCGACCTTCTTCTCCAGCCTTTCCAATTTTGCCTCCATCTGTTGGACGCGATCATTGGGGGTGGTTAACCGGTTAGCCACCGGTACCCTGGGTTGGCTTTCTGCCTCTTCCTCCTGGCGAGAGGCCCTCGTCCTGGCTGGCTCCTGCCGGTTTGACTGGGAGCGTTGGGTGCGGGCAGGCTCGGCCTCCCTCATCTCGCCTAACCGGGCGAATGCGCTGACATGGGCAACGCTTTGCCCCAGCCTTAGCTTGGCTGATTTTCTCTGGCCCTCTTCCCTTTCCCCCAGCCTTTCGAAGGCGGAGTTTCGGGAAGTTGCTGGGCGGATAGTCTTTCCCTTCTTTTTCTTGTGGGTCCTTGGAATGTCCCACTCGTCGTCTCCGCTTTCAACCGAGACGCAGTGACCATCCGGAGTGATTAGCAGATTCGTACCTTGCGGGGGACGCGAGGGCCCTGCGGCGTTAAGCGCACCAGTCAAGTTGATGGGGGCCACAGCGCTGACTAGCTGCGGCTGGAAAGGTGATGGTTGCGGTACTGGCGTTTGGAAGGGAGACACCGCCATTGGAGCTTGTAGGGGCATGGTTCCCGCACCTGGGAGAGCGAACGGGAACATACCAGGGAGAAAAGGCATCCCCCCATTCTGTTGGCACATAGCCATGACCTAGCCAAAGCCCTGGATGGCCTGCAGGTTGGCGGGGTCATTCATGAACTGAGCCATGCTTGGTGGGAAAGTGACCCTCGGCCCAGCGGAAGGGACGGGAGCCGTGAATGGGCTGACCATGCTGGGTGTTGAAACCGAGCTTAGTCCCAATGGCAAAACCGGAGCAGAAACGGTTGTCAAGGTAACAGCCATGGGGATGTTGGTACCTTCAGTGGTGGCTTGCACCTGAGCAGGGGTGGCGTTGATTTGCTGGCTTGAAGACATTTTGAGTGGTGTTTTTGCGGGTAGGTTTGTATAAGAGAAGAAACCTTAACGGTCCCACGGTCGGCGCCAAAAATGATGGTGTAAATTACTTGACCGGTCAAACTATACTAGACCGGGTCCAGAATAGTTGGCTTGATTCAGTAAAGTAAAGAAGGTAAAAACACTCGGAATGACCGGTAGGACTTTAGGTGGAACACCTGTAGCCCGAATTGTATTAAAACAAAGAATGCACGGTCACTTTTACAAGGGAGTTTAGAGAGAGTGAATTCGGGTCCCTTTCTCCGAGAATTACAAGTATATATACTAGGCTAGGGGGGCAGGACCACGTGCGCCCACGTGGGGGCATGCTGCTGGCGTGGTGTGAGGTGACTGGCTCTGAGCTGCCTTGTCATCTTGCGAGGGGGGTTGCGCCCTTGTCGTGTTCTGGCTTGGAAATGTTCCTTCGACATCTCTGCAATTCCAACCACTACAGTCCAAGTCCTTTTTTTGGATTCCCCCTGCCGACAATCTCCATCCTCTAAAAACTACACCGGTTGATCCCTGAAGGTTGGATTAATTGACTTCGGAATTGATTCCTGACGATGGAGTAAACTGACCGGTATACTATCCGAAGTATACCGGTCAACTTCATCGGTCAACCAGTCGTCCATCTGCCAACGATTCAGATCTCTCTCCTGAGTTTGACCCCCTTTGACCGGTCAACTATCTGGCCCTAACCTTTGACCGGTTTTGGGTGAAATACACCCATCAGTACCGTTCTCAAATACCAGAGTGATCATTTGGTTCGGTATGATTTGGTTATTTTGCGGAGTGCACTTTTTTGGCAAAGAAGGATGCAGACAAGCATCACTTGATGTAAAGGGGAGATAGTAATTCAGCCCCTTAATTGGGGAATACAAAAATTGGTGTTCATTTCAGTTCATTCTAGAGAGGCTTAAAAATTACACAACAGTAAGCTACCTCAGCTGATATCAAGAATGATGATGAAGCATGATTATGGAAGGCCGCAGATCGTCATTATAAAAATATATTATTGCAAATATTTTATAACATTAATGTTGTTATTTATGTAATAAAAAAAGTTTGACATTTTGTATTTAAAAACAATGTCCTAAAAGTGATATTGTATTTAAAACATTTTGCCGCAGATCGTCATTATACCAATATTTTATCTTTATGTTAGTATTATATCCTAAAAGTGATTTTTAATAGATAATGAAACATTTTTTATGGATAACAAAAAAATGAAAGGGGAAGATCTTTTAGAGACGGAAGGAGTGATTACATATATGAATCATGAGAGAATAATCTTATTATTAAAAGGTTCCAAAGACCTTGTGTTCCCTCGGTCCACCTAAGATCTTTCCATTACGCATTACGAGGTTTGCCCGATTGTATTATCAAATCAATTCATTTGATTATACGAGTAAAATTTAAAAATAAAATTTATATAATAAAAAACAATTAACATGAAAAGTTCTACAAAACTAGAGGTAACAAGAGTATATTATTTTATGAAACGAGTAGTAAAAATATGCAAACAGAATGAGTTAAGTTTGACCGTGTAAATAATGTCTGATTGTCTGAGAAGATCTATAGCAGATAAAGAGAGTATTAAAAAGTAAATTTCATAAATAGTTCTTTATAATTGGAGGTTTTCATATCTAGTCAATTTTGAAAACTATTGTATAATTTTTCTTTTGGATCGAGCAAATATATGCAAACATTTTTTCATTTTTTGTACATTTAATCTTAACTAATTATAGAATAATCTTTAAAAATTGAAAATCACGAATTTGATATCTTAAAACTTATGATTAAATATAAAAAAATCCGTCTATGATAAGGTACCATTTATGAATTTATTCGAATAAATTCTATAAAGAGTCTATTATTATTAGAAACCTTATCTATGACATTAATGTTGGATGTCAAGGAGACCCTTTATTAATTTTAAAAGTCCAAAGTAGAGAAAGATGATTATTAGCCAAACTACAAACCTAATTAAGGAATTAAAGTGTGGTATGGTGTTCTTCAAATAGGGTCAGAGCTGGCAGTGAAAGTGTGGGGGTGACAGTGCATGGGCAGCCTATATGGTTTGTTTGATTTAATAATGTCTTCTGTTAGCCCAATTCTTTATTGTTTCAGGGTTCTATTTTAATTCGCTATTTTCTTTCTTTATTGCAAATATTACGTCATGGATGACATTTTATACCTCAAATATTTATCTATTGTTTATAACTATCCCCTCAATTTTCCCTCTTACAGTGTTCATTATTATTACTGTTTGGTTAGAGTTTTCGGATTAACATTTATTTATTCGACAATATCGTAAAAGTGCAGATAAATCTTGAAAACGTAAGAATTAAAATATATCTGTGGTGAACTTCTCTCCTGGCTTGAGTGGTAGCAAGCCCACTCCTCAGGATTCTTGGGGAAGTTCACCCAGGTTCGAACCCCAGCGAAGGCAGCAGCATTGGCTCTTTGTGCGTCATTAGTCATTAGCTTGAGAATAGTATGAACAGATACTACCTTGTAATAGAGTCAATAGCATTCAAAAAAAAATATATCTGTGGATGTTATTTTCAAAAATGTTATTTTTAATGTCAAATAGAGTCTTCCTCAATTTGTGTTTCTTTTAATCGCTAAAAAGGGGAACTATGCCTTAGAAGGAGGTCCATATGCCGAGGATGAAAAGGGAACCTATGCCCTAAAAAGAAACCGGACTAAGAATGCGTGCTCGGTTTTTTAAGATAAAAAATACTCCATCCGTCCCCAATTTGATTACAAATTGCGGGTTACGGAGTAAAATTTCCTACTTTTTGAAATCATTTTATTTACAAATTGGTATATTAATAAGATATAAAAATTACATATTAAAAAACTACGTGAAAAGTTCTACAAAACAAGAGGTGACAAGAATATTTTATTTTATCAAATACATAAAGAAATCGCGTAAACAAACAAAAGTTATCGAGAGGAGAGAGAAAAAAAATTGTAATCCATTGGGAGAAGGAACAAACTAGGAGTAAAAACATAGGTCATATTCTTAAAGGGAGAAATACGAAAATAGCACTTTAATACTCAAAATAGCAGTGCTATTAGTTTTGGAGATGAATTCTCTTTTTTGTCCTTAAATAAACACCTAATATTATATTTTCCTAATTAGGTTAAGAAATAGGTTTTACGGCCAAATGCAATTGCGCATCCGATCTTCCCAGGCGCAGCAGCCAATCTTCCCATTCACGCCATAACGGGCACGCTTCCTCGTCACACTGCCGAACGCGACGCAGCAGCTTTCGGAAGGAGACCCAAGGTTTCAATGGCAAGCGAAGATGCACTGGACGAGATCCCTCTAAGCAAAAGATTGGAGAAGATATAGGTATGATTCGTTTTGGCATTGAATTTGCTTCTTAAAAAAATTCTCTAACAAAGTTTGGAATAAGTTTTTTTTTTCCGTTTGCAATGCGTTTTTTAAGCAGTGTGTTTTTTAATTTTCGTTTTGGAATAATTTTTGCAGTGTGTTTTTTTCGTTTGCAGTGTGTTTTTTCCGTTTATGAATAATTTTTAAGCAATGTGTTTTTTAATTTTTGTTTCCAATGTGTTTTTTAATTTTCCTCAATGTGTTCTTATTTTCCTCAGTGTGTTCTATGCATTGTGTTTTAATTTTTAAGCTTGGCAGTGTTTTTTTGATTAACGTATTAAATTTTTTTTGGCTTTGTTGAACTCATTTAGGTTTTTTTGTGAATGTTAGACGTAATTCAAAGTTTAGAATAAGTTTTTGCTTCTATTTGGCATTGAATTTGCTTCTTAAAAAATTTCTCTTACAAAGTTAAGAATAAGTTTTTTCCCCGGTGTGGCAGGGGGTTTTTATTGAAGGTTCACTGCAATGTGTTTTTTAATTTTCTTCAGTATGTTTTTATTTTCTGCAGTGTGTTGTTGTTTCCCTTGGGTTCTAAGCAGTGTGTTTTAATTTTTAAGCTTGGCAGTATTTTTTTGATTAATGTATTAGATTTTTTTGGCTTTGTTGAACTTGTTTAGGTTTTTTTGTGAATGTTAGACGTAATTCAAAGTTTAGAATAGGTTTTTGCTTCTATTTGGCATTCAATTTGCTTCTTTAAAATTTCTCTTACAAAGTTTAGAATACGTTTTTTTCCCAGTGTGGCAGGGGGTTTTTATTGAAGGTTCACTGCAATGTGTTTTTTAATTTTCTTCAGTATGTTTTTATTTTCTGCAGTGTGTTGTTGTTTCCCTTGAGTTCTATGCAGTGTGTTTTAATTTTTAAGCTTGGCAGTGTTTTTTAAATTAACATATTGATTTTTTGGCTTTGTTGAACTCGTACGGGCAATTTTTGTGAATGTTAGACGTAATGCAAAGTTTAGAATAAGTTTTTGCTTCATTTTGTCATTAAATTTGCTTCTAAAAAATTTCTCTTACAAAGTTTAGAATAAGTTTTTTTTCGGGTTGGCAGGGGGGTTTTGTAGTAAGTTCACTGCAATGTGTTTTTTAATTTTCTTCAGTGTGTTTTTTTCCTGCAGTGTATTTTTTGTTTCCCTTAAGTTCTATGCTGTGTGTTTTAATTTTTAAGCTTTGCAGTGTTTTTTATTAAAGTATTGAATTTTTTTTGGCTTTGTTGAACTCATTTAGGTTTTTTTGTGAATGTTAGACGTAATTCAATGTTTTTTTCCGGCTTTCGTTTTTTTTTTTGGTTTTTCGTTTATAAAATAATTGTTTTATTTTATATATAAACGAATGGGCAACTTTTGGGCACTGTCATTTTTATGGGTTTAGTATTGTATGTCGTTTTTATTTTCTAAAGTGTGTTTTTTGTTTCCCTTGAGTTCTATGCAGTGTGTTTAATTTTTTAAGCTTGTGCTCGAAGTTGAAGGAAGGAAGATAAGGGTTTATAATTCTAAAAGAAAGAAATGGCAGACAACTAGGGAAGTCATTCCATATGTGGCGTGTATATCATCATTGTTACCCAAGCTTCTTGATATGTTG